AGGGCAAAGGGATCTTTGGGGCAGGCCTTGTTGAGGCTCGTGTAGTCTATGCACATGCGCCACTTGTTGTTCTTCTTTAGCACGAGGACCGGGTTGGCGAGCCACTTTGGAAAGAAAACCTCCATAATGAAGCCGGCTGCCAGAAGCCGGGCTATCTCTTCTCCTACAATCCTTCTTTTCTCCTCCGACAGTCGGCGGAGGGGTTGTTTGACTGGTTTTGCGCCTTCTCGGACGTGTAGCTTGTGCTCGGTGAATTCCTTCGGAACATCCGGCATGTCCTTAGGGGACCATGCAAAGATGTCCCAATTCTCACGGAGGAAATCGGCGAGCTCGCCTTCCTATTTGCTGTTTAGCTTTGCCCGGATGACGGCAAACCTTTCTGGGTGCTCGGGGTCAAGAGGTATCTTCTTTGTCTCCTTGGCTGGCTGGAAAGATCCTTGGGCATCACACTCCTTGGGATCGGGGGACAGGGCTGGCTGTTTGCCGGCCATGACCACGACTCGGTCCAACATCTTCTTTTCTTCGGCAATCACAAGGGACTCGCCCAGCCGGCTGCTGGCTGCTGCGCACTCGGAAGATTTCTTGTAATCGCCGGCTATGGTGATGATGCCCTTGGCGCTCGGCATCTTCATCTTGAGGTGGACGGCCAAGCAATGCATGGTAGGGGCTCTCCAGGTCCACCACTTCAAACCAGATCGCTTCCCGGCAGAAATGATCCTTGTTCCCAAAGAGAACATCAATCTTGATCTTGCCAATGAGGGCGCAGGACAGGCCAGGTACAATGCCATGGAACACAGTCCGAGTAGGCATGAGTTGCTTCGTCTTGACATTTAGCTTCTCCAGGGTGTCACGGTACAGGATGTTGATGCTGCTCCCGCCGTCTATCAGCACGCGGGAGAAACGGGCGGCGCGTCTGTCCATTGCAAGGGTGGCATCCAAAACCAACGCATAAGAGCCGGGAGATGGCATCACCTCTGGGTGGTCGGCCCGGCTCCAGCTGATAGGATTTTCTGACCAGTGCATGTGCTCGGCGGGGCTGGTAGCGATCACGTTGACTTCCTGGTGCTCTCGGCGTCTGCTGCGCCGGCCTTCGGGCTGGCTTGTAAAGACGACATAGGCGGCATGCTCGTCGGGGAACTCATCGTGCACAGCTCCGACTGTTGGCCGAGCGGTCGGCAGCTGCGGAGCTGGAGGCGGCGGACCAGCAGGCGGAGGCGGCGCGAGCCCTTCGCCTTTGGAGATTCGGGTGAGCCAGTGGCACTTCCGGGTTGTGTGGTTGGACGGCTTCGCGCCGCTGTGGAACTTGCATGGGGCGTCGAGAGTTTGGACGGCTTCGTGCCGCTGTGGAACTTGCATGGGCCCCTCTGCTTCTTGGGTGCGGGCGGCCCTTCGGCTGCTCGTCTTCGACTGTGGCCACCTGCCGACTGGTGGAGAGCGGCACGGGGCCCTTGCACTTGTGTTCGTTCTGGTACGGGCGTCGGCCGGAGTCCCCAGCCGGCGTCTTGGGCACCGGATTGAGTACCTTTCCGGACGCGTCTATCCGGAGTTCAGTCTTCATTGAGGAGTCGGCGGTGGCGTACTTGTCCGCTATGACCAGAAGCTCGTCGAGGGTAGTCGGCTCGTCGCAGAGGAGCTTGTGCTTGAGGAGGGTGCCTTCTCCGCACCCGGCAGTGAAGTATTCTATGGTTTGCACCTCGTGCACCCCTTCGCAAGAGTTGCGGAGCTCGGCCCAACGCGTGAGGTAGTCGCGAGTGGATTCGGCAGGGCCTTGTACGCACAAGGAGAGCTGTCTGGGCTTGGGAGCCCGCTTGTAGGTGCTGGTGAAGTTGCGGACGAAGGCTTCTGTGAAGTCTAGCCAGCTGTTGATACTGTATGGCTTGAGGCTGTTGAGCTAGGTCCGCGCCGTGCCTTGCAGCATGAGGGGCACGTACTTCACGGCAACGCGCTTGTTGCCGTTTGCTATGCGAACCGCTGTGGAGTAGTCGATCAACCAATCTTCCGGCTTCACAGAGCCGTTGTACTTGGGCGTGTCTGTTGGGAGCGAGAACCCTTTGGGGAAAGGCTCGTCGCGGATGTGGGGGCCGAAACAAGGCGGGCCGACATCATCTTTTTCTTCTAGCGCTAGGGATCGCGCTAGGCGGTCGATCCGACGGCGGGCGTCGTTCTCGCCGACTCCTTTGCGGCGACCTAGTCGGCCGCTGAGAGTCGGATGCGTGACAGGCGGTGGGGTGGGATACCTCTTCCCACGAGGCGGAGGCGGAGGCGGGTTGCCCCGCCGCTCCACGGCCCGGGAACGGCCTTCTGCGTCTCGCTCGATAGAGATCCGGGTTCGGCTTCGGCTGGCAGCCGGCTCTTTCTCGTATCGCGCGCGGGTTTTACCCGCAGTCGGCGTCCGGGACGTCGCGCTGTGCTCTCGGCGCGGGGGAGGGCTTTTCGCGCGGGCGTCGGCTTCGTGCCGCTGTGCGGCTGCATCGATTAGTTGCTGGATGCGTCTGATCATGTGGGGGAGTTCTTCGGCCCCCAATCCGTCTAGCTGGTCTACGGCCGCCTGGGCGGCGCGCAGGTTCTCGAGTGGAGTGGCGTAGACTGGGCGGTCGACTCCTAGCGTGTCGGCGAGGGCAGCGCCGCGCTGTCTGACAACGCCGGCTCGGCTTGGCCCGCCTGGGGGCGGCGTGCCAAAGGCGGCGCGGTCGGCTTCGCGCTGGTGGGCCTCAGTGAGGCGTCTCATGGATGCCAACTTCCGGCCCTCCGCGAGGAGGGCGAGGCGGCGAGCCTCCAGTGCTTCGGCGTCGGCATCGGCCGGGAAGGGGATGGACAAGTCGTGGACCGCCGCATGCGGGGCGTCGAGGGCGTTCTCGCCAGAAGCGCCGCCGTGGCCGATGACCATCACCTCGGTGGTGGCACCGTCGCAGCCATCGGCCCGAGGAAGCGGGTCGTTGTAGGTCGCGACGTCGATGGGGAAAGCGTCGAGTGAGGCCATGTCGGAGTCGACAAGCATCGGATCGGTGGAGCCAACAGACTCCAAGTCCACAGCAGGCTCGCCGGAGACGTGGAGCTGGCCGAGGAGGTTGACGAGGTGGTCGGTGCCCGCGTCAGAGGCGGGCTCGTCGGAGATGAGGGTCTCGTCAAGGAGATCGGTGAGGCCGCTCGCTGCGCAGACGTTGGTGACGCCTTTCAGCGCGTCGTGGCAAGCGCCATTGGGCGTGCCGGGCTGGCTACGCTCACTGGGGAGGAAGAGGGTTCCCGTCCAGAATAGGTCTTCGGACGACGGTGCACCTGGCCCCACGGTGGGTGCCAAATGTCGGGTGGTAGGTGCGACATATGCCAACGGGTGGCTTATCATTGTGGGAGCCAGTAAGACGTTGCCGGTGCCTGGAAGCGGGATGAGGCGAAACATGCATGCCGGCGAATCTTACCCAGCTTCAGGGCTCTCCGTGGAGATAACACCCCTACTGCTGCTCTGCGGGGTCTCCGCATGATCACTAGATGAACGAGTGGCTACAAGATGCTCCTTGAGCTATTTGGCGAGAAGAAGAAGGGCACGGCTAGCTCTCCTCTTCTCTCTATGTGGTGTCTAAAACTAGCTCAGCTCCACCCTTTGCATGGGTGCCCCGGGGGGTTTATAGGGTACAATGGTAATCCGGCTGGGCGTGGGCCCTAGCCATCTGTGTCTACGCTCGCCGGCTTCTGCGCCGGCTGGTGGGTCCCGCCGGCTGCCGGCTCCTTGATCGACAGGCAGGCCCCACTGTCAAGGGCCTTGTCGGTGGCTGGTTACTGTTGCCTCAAACCTGGTGACGAGGGCTTCGCCGAGGTAAGCGTGGCTACAGTACCGCCGCCCGGCGGGCGATCGCTGTAGCCTCACCTCCTCTTGTCTCCTTAATGGGGCGTCTCCTTCGAGGGAGGAAGCAAGCTGGCTGTGGGGAGCCGGCCCTGTTTTGGGCCGACTGGGGAGGCCTGGCGGCCTTCGGGTGTCTTTCTGCCTGAAGGGGCCCACCGCCCGTGGGCCGCGCTGACAGCCCGTCGTGGGTGGCATCAGGGTCAACATGGCAACAGTGCCGCGCCGGACGGGTCATGGCCACCCCGTACGGCGCACTGTGCCAGGCGTGCTCCGGGATTCGAGGGTGGCAGGCTTTATTGTAGCCACGCCCCGCCACATCGCCGTTATGTGGATGCAGACTTCGAGGGTACGATCTTGACCGCTTTGTGGGAGTCGGCTTCTCGCGGCCGGCTTCTTGGAGCCGGCCCTCCCGCGGCTTTCTTCATGAGGGCTAAAGCCGGGCCGCCTTCCGATAGTCGGCCTGGGAGACAGCCGGCAAGGGGAAGGCGGCCCCACGTCTTGGATTCTTGAGGGCCGGATCAGCTCGTAATTTTTTCAGAAGGGCCAGAGGGAGCCGGCTAGGCTACCCGTGGTCGCTTACTCCGACACACCTAGTAGTACTGAAACCGCACATCATGTACTCGGTTTTAGTTCTACTAAGCCTAAACCCTTTCGATTCCAAGGTTTGTCTCCATAACTCTAACTTCCTATTTACCCTCGTCCGACTATCGTCAACTAGCACCACATCATCCGCAAAGAGCATACACCATGAGATATCTCCTTGTATATCCCTTGTGACCTCATCCATCACCAATGCAAAAAGATAAGGGCTCAAAGCTGACCCCTGATACAGTCCTATCTTAATCGGGAAGTCATCGGTGTCGACATCACTTGTTCGAACACTTGTCACAACATTATCGTACATGTCCTTGATGAGGGTAATTGTGTTTCTCCAAGGCCCACCACATGACATTCCGCGGTATCTTATCATAGGCCTTCTCCAAGTATTTTCATATTTTATTCTGTATTGTAAATTTTGATATTTTATTCTATAATCTTGGTCAAACGTACACAAGTTTGACTTGCATGAATATCGATACACCTTATATTCTGGAATGGAGGAAGTACTATATAATCGTTGCAATCTATTTTGCATAAGCGGTTCTTTGTTGACATGTTCCAGGTTGTAGTTGCGAATGCTGGGGATGCTAAAGCAGTATTAGCTCGTTCTACTTCAACTGATGGTGAAGGTGTGGTGGCTGACACCAAAAGTCCACTGAAAGCTATTGTTTTGACAAGAGAACACAAAGCCATCTTTCCACAAGAACGCTCGAGAATCCAGAAGGTGAATAGCTTTATGGTTCCAACATTAATTCAGTTCCCCCTCATAAATTATGTTTTGCTTCGTTTTGTATGTTCCCAATGAAACAGCTCCCTGCTTGGTGCCAATGCAAGGATGTTGTATCATTTTTTTTGGCACCATAAGTTGTCAAATCAGATCTGATTGGCAATTATACCAAATTGAAGCCTGATATTATTCTAGTTTGTTCACATGACTTTCTCGAACAGTTGAATATTAGCATTTTGGTTGTGCATCCAACCTATGCCTAGTTGCCTTGCCCTAATTGCTACCAATTGTTAGCGATAGGAATTAGCTGATTTGTGATAAGAAGTACAAATTTGTTCTCCTGTAGTCCATTTGCTCCTCTATTGGTTTTCTTCTGTGGTCTCATTTGCTCCTAATTTTACCACTGCTCTCCGAATGCCGTATTTGATGAGCACCTTACCATTGCATATCAAATGTTCATTTTGATGTGTCTTGGCTCACGGTTAATTTTACCTTGTTCTCGTACAAAGGCTAAGACTACAAGGGCGCATTGAAGTATCTAGAGCTCTTGGAGATCGTCACTTTAAGAAGGTTTACTGATGCAAATTTATTTGCTGATATTTTTTATTCTGGTGTTCCATTTGCGTATATGGAAAATATATACTGTTGGAGTATACCACTTTCCTCCTCCTTTTTCTTAAGCTATAGGAATTAGACCCTCAATTCCCATGCCCATCTACCAAATAGATGACATTTCATAGTATAAGTTATTTCATCACTCAATGGAACTCCTTTGTGAGTTCCAGGAGCATAGGATCACTAATAATGACCACAGAGATGTATCTGTTTGCTTAGAAATAATTATGCTTACAGTTATGCCCACTTTTATGTTTATTCTAGATCAAGTAGTTTTGTTTTTCTTTGGCAGAAAGATCAAGTAGCGAAGTTTTTTATTTCTGGGATGCTAGTAAACCCTAGTATTAAACTATCAGTTATATTTTATCACTTGGCCATCCGTTTGCAAGAATGCAATAATGGAGGTACCCATGGGAGAGTTCATGAAAACACAGATCTGTTGTATAGAGTTCACATCCATTGGGTACAACTTTGGACTTGCATTTCTAATTTATGTCAGTCGCTAGTTCTTACATTATGTTGCTCACATCCAAATCTGTTGAAGACTCAAACACTCTGCATTTGTATGAGGTACCCACATTACAGAGATAATTTTACAACATTTGCTAAAGGTTCTATCTATGTTTTGCGAAGACATAGACTGTCTTGTCTTTGCACATGAAGCTGTGTCTAGCCAAAATACCCAATATTTTTATTCATCACCACATCTATCGGAAAAGAAAAAAAAACGTGTTCCACTGCATGCTTAATCCAAGCTCCTTAAGCACGCTTTCTGAAAGCTACTCCCTCCGTTCCTAAATATAAGTCTTTTTGGGCATTTCGAATGGACTACAACATATGGATGTATGTAGACATATTTTAGAGTGTAGATTCACTTATTTTGCTCCGTATGTAGTCACTTGTTGGAATCTCTAAAAAAGACTTATATTTAGGAACGGAGGGAGTAGTTATGTTAACAATGTTGTCTATAAATGGAGCATCAACATATATCAATCAACTATCGTGCAGGTGGGGTTGATTGCAACACCAGATGTCCATTCTTTTGAACTCACAGTGAAGGACCATTTCATCATTCTTGGATGTGATGGCTTGTGGGGAGTATGTTTATTTCCCGTTTCTTTGCTATATTAGTTTTTGCTTCATTTTTATTTCTTCAATCATATTTGTGGTGAGTCTTAACTTTCTATGTGAACCCAGGTGTTTGGGCCAAGTGACGCTGTTGAATTTGTCCAGAAGCAATTGAAGGTGTTATTTCTTCAAACTAATCTCTATAACTCTAAATACTCACTATTTGTTTCTTGTAAAAAGGACCGGAGGGAGTACATTTGTTTCTTGTACCCACTATTTTCTGCTAGTTATCTCTTCTGAGGTAAAACTGATTAGATTTTGATTGGACGATGCCGAAATTAAATTGGAAGCCTATTTTGTAGTAAAATTCGTGTTACTCATTCTCACATGGATGAGATTGCCTGTGTATATATGGTAGAGCTCCATGGTCTCATGATGTAGCCGTGACCTAGGGGAGCTCTTGGGCCAAAGGTTGGCAAGTGGGCGGACGCAAGCGCCTAGCGCAGTATTAATAACTGGGGTTTTGGAAGGGAGAATTTCTTGGGAGAAGACGTCATAATTTAGACTTGTACTACTTTGTATTATTATATAGGACACACATGACTAACCCAGTTCTTATGTAAATTCGAACTCAGGCATCATAACCTTTGTTAACACGACTCTTTGCTAAATAGGAGACGTCCTCAGCCACGCTCGCGGTGCGGCGCCTGGTGAAGGAGGCTGTCCGCGAGAGGCGGTGCAAGGATAACTGCACTGCTGTTCTGATCGTCTTCAAGCACTAGAATTGTTTGGCTGTTGCAACAAGCTTCTCACAGAACTGAACCCGAGAAGAGAAATTTGCGAAGAGCAATATGTGATTCAAGCCTTCATGATTTCCGTGCTCTGGCAAACGATTGTGCGTGTCCATGAGAACACTGTTAGTGCACTATCTGTACTTCGTTTTGACAATTTTTTTTTTTGCTTTTTCCAACCTTGATTCTTGTAGCAAAAGCCCCTCTAAACTGCTATAAAGAAATGTTACTTGGCCGGTCTCATGTGACCCAAGTCTCTTTTACAGCTATTTACAAGGTCTGACCTGCTTCTTTATTTTATTTTTTCCATCGAGAAGACTAGATCTTCAACCAATGCATATATAGGAGTAAGTGAATCTTGGATTCTGATCGAATTGTCAGTACTACGTGTAACTTAATCCTTGATATATGTGCTGAGAATAGATCCACGGTCCACATAATGATTTTATGGGGAAATGCGGCATCTCAAATCTTGTATTCCTCCTTGGGAGGATTACACAAGATCCTGAAGATGGGCTAGTCAGGCAGGTACCAAGAGTATAGTACTCCTTTCGTTTCATGATGTGAGATGTTTTTTTCACACTGACATTATGGGACGAAGGGAGTAGTTTTTTCTCTTACTGTTTGGCCTATGCTTTCTTTACGGCATTGAAGTACCAAAATGGTACTTTATGAAGCACCAGTGTAGTAAATTCATATGCTGGAAACACATTTTTAGTTGTTCGCAAAGAAGTAGTAGATAGTTTTTTTATCCGAAAAAGATCAGATCTATAAAGCATCTTGAACATAATAAAAATACATCGAGACTCTAAGACCACCGACCACTACTGCCGTTGGAGCGTGATGTCGATGCCGCTCCCATATCAAAGTCGGTTTTGACTTTGTCGATGACAGCCGGAAAGTCTTCGTACATGTGCCCTTAAGGACCAATGCCCTGGAGCCGCAGTTGTCGCCATTGAACTCTTGCATAGATCTGAAGCACCTGACCCAACTCTCGCCACATGACGAGAAACCCTAACGTCACCACCTTAGGGAGACAGTAGGAATCTACGCCGAAGCTCCGTTGAATAAGGCCTAACGGATGAACTCGAGAAGGATCGAAGCCTCGAAGACAAATTCAAAGAAGAAGCGCTGCCATCCACCTAAGCGCCGTACCTGCGAGGACTAAAAATTCTAACCTAAGCAGAAAGGAGGCGAATCCACGGACTCGCCGTTGAAGTCTAAAGGGAAAAGTTTATCGGAACTACATAGGGTTAGAGTAGAAAACGTGAGGAAGTCCTGAAGTAGCAAATAGTTACAAAAGCTTATTAGCCTTTTGTACAATCCATGTATCTCTCCACTTTGTTACTAGTGCTGCGTGCCAGATGTGTTTGATTTAGTTTAAGGACCGATTGCCACATTTGTGTGCATTTAATTGTTATGAAAAAGACACCATTTGTCAATAAACTCATGGCCAGGGAACATTTTAGTTCAAGAACTCTTTTTTCTTTCTAAGAAAACTTCCAACCTATTGGTCAAACATCATGACTGTATAACGAACATAAGAAGTAATACAAATTACATTCATGTCCGTAGATCATCTAGCGACGACTATAAGCATTGGAGTAAGTCGAAGGAGTGCCGTCGTTATCGCCCCTCCCTCACTAGAGCTAGACAAACATTGTTACAGAGACAGTCGAGAAGTTGCCGTGCTAAGGTCCCAACAGACCAACACACTAGAACAACATGTTGAGAAACGTAGCATGTAATTTCAAAAAAATTCCTACGCTCAGGCAAGATCTATCTAGGAGACGCATAGCAACGAGAGGGGGAGAGTGTGTCTACGTACCTTCGTAGACTGAAAGCGAAAGCGTTTGACAGTACGGTTGATGTAGTCGAACTTCTTTTCGTTCCGACCGATCAAGTACCAAACGTACGACACCTTCGAGTTCTGCACACGTTCAGCTCGATGACGTCCCTCGAATTCTTGATCCAGTAAAGTGTTGAGAAAGTAGATGAGTTCCGTCAGCATGACGGCGTGGTGACGGTGATGGTGAAGTGATCCGCGCAGGGCTTCACCTAAGCACCGCGAGAATATGACCGAGGGTGTAATCTGTGGAGGGGGCACCGCACATGGCTAACAGATGTTGTTGTGTGTTCTAGGCGCCTCCCCCCTTCATATATATGGGTGGGAGGGAGAGGGAGGAGCCAAGGGGGCGCACAAGTAGGAGGAACCCTAATTGGGGCCCTAGTCCTATTCGCCCCCTCCCCCTAGCATAATTTCCGGAAGAGGGAGGAGGGAAGGAAGGGGGAGGCCGAATCCCTCCCCTTCCTTTCTCTCTTCCCCTCTTTCCTCCCCCTCCAGGTTCGGCCTATATAGGGGGCGCATCAGCCCATGCTGGCTGCTGCGTTTCCCCTCTTGGCCCATTAGGCCCATAAATTTGTCGGGGGTGCCCGGAACCCCTTTCCGATGACCCGATATGTACCCGGTATCCCAGAACACTTCCAGTGTCCGAATACCATCGTCCTATATATCAATCTTTACCTCTTGACCATTTTGAGACTCCTCGTCATGTCCATGTTCTCATCTGAGACTCCAAACAACATTCGGCAGCCAAATCAAAAAACTCGCATAATACTATATCGTCATCGAACGTTAAGCGTGCAGACCCTACGGGTTCGAGCCATTATGACAACATACGTTATTCTCTTTGTCCATCGGTATGTTACTTGCCCGAGATTCGATCGTCGGTATCTTCATACCTAGTTCAATCTTGTTACCGGCAAGTCTCTTTACTTGTTCCGTAATACATCATCCTGCAACTAACTCATTAGTCACTTTGCTTGCAAGGCTTCTTATGATGTGTATTACCGAGAGGGCCCAGAGATACCTCTCCGATACTCGGAGTGACAAATCCTAATCTCGATCTATGCCAACCCAACAAACACCTTCGGAGATACTTGTAGAGCATCTTTATAATCACCTAGTTATGTTGTGACGTTTGATAGCACACAAGGTATTCCTCTCGTATTCGGGAGTTGCATAATCTCATAGTCAAAAGAATATGTATATGATATGAAGAAAGCAATAGCAATAAAACTGAACGATCTATATGCTAAGCTAACAGATGAGTCTTGTCCATCACATCATTCTCCTAATGATGTGATCTCGTTCATCAAATGACAACACATGTCTATGGTTAGGAAACTTAACCATCTTTGATTAACGAGCTAGTCTAGTAGAGACTTACTAGGGACACGGTGTCTTGTCTATGTATCCACACATGTATCAAGTTTCTGGTTAATACAATTCTAGCATGAATAATAAATATTTATCATGATATAAGGAAATATAAAATAACAACTTTATTATTGTATCTAGGGCATATTTCCTTCACAACAATCACTGCCAACAAAGAGAAACATAGATAAAAAAAATCCAAACTGAAGACACATGAATACAGACAACGAAGACCGGAAACACAGATCCATCACGCCTCCATGGTCTAAGAGCAACTCTAGCAGACCCCGCATCCAGCGCGAACCCGCATAATTCCGGCGATTATACGGGCTCGACCCATTATTCTGGCCAGACCAGAGCCCGCATCGGTGTTCGGCTCGTAAATATTTCCGCCGCAGTCCGCAAACGCTACCCCCGAGCCAGTATAACTGCGGGTTTGCGGGGCAGATACAGGTCGAAACCCTATCCCCCTGCAGCCGTGTTTGCCCTCAATTCCCCACCGCGCCGCTCGATTTGTCACCGCCGGCGAGCCTTCGACCGCCATGGACGACTCAGGGGATGAGGCGGAGCGCCGCCGCCGCGCCAGATCTTACGGCCGCGCAAGCGGGGGGCACGTCGGTGGCTCAACCGCGCTATCCGGTCGCCGCCGGCCTTCAACCGCCGCGAGCTCGAGGACTTCGATCTTGAGCTCGCCCGTCGCCGCCACGCCTCCTTCGGCAACTGGTACGCGGGGAGCTCATCCGGCCACTGGTCCGCGGGGTGCTCATCCACGGGCGCATCGAGCTCACGGCTCGTTCCGGTGAAGAGGGAGCCAGAGGAGGCGGTGAAGAGGGAGCCGGAGGAGGCCGTGCTCGATGCGCCGCTGCGCCGAGGCGTCATCGGGACCGAGGACTACCTCCCCCTGGAGGAGCTCCTCGAGCGCGTCGTCCTCGAGCGGTCGACAAGGGAGCAGGAGGAGATGGAAGAGCGCATCCGGCGCGAGCTCGAATATGAGTGGCTCTGCTTCGAGACGGGTGTCACGGCATCACAGGCGCACGCATCGAAGGAGGCTGACGTGCGTGTGATGAAGGCGGAGCAGGCGAAGCTCTACATCAACCTCGACTCCGATTCCTCCGACTCCGACTGATCGCTGCCGGTGGGCAGCTACCGCAGGAGCTCTGGTGAGCTTAATTTTGTTGTAGTGGTGCGGTAGCGTAGGCCCTGTCTAGCATCTCTGACCTTTAATATGTATGTATGTGGAGTGTACGAACTTATGCAAAGAAGAACCATCTATGCAAGTGAGCTCCGGCGAGCTGCTGCTTAAATTTCTCGCGTGAAACAACTTTTTTTAAATATTACGAGTTTGTTTGCGGTTTCTGTTCTGCCGCCGCATTTTTTAGCCTGCATAAGCGCCCTCGTGCAACCTGCAAACACAGTTTACAGTTCGGCAAAATGCGGGGACTGCTAGAGTGTTGGGGAACATAGTAATTTCAAAAAAAATCCTACGCACACGCAAGATCATGGTGATGCATAGCAACGAGAGGGGAGAGTGTGTCCACGTACCCTCGTAGACCGAAAGTAGAAGCGTTAGCACAACGCGGTTGATGTAGTTGTATGTCTTCATGATCCGATCGATCAAGCACCGAACGCACGACACCTCCGAGTTCTGCACACGTTCAACTCGATGACGTCCCTCGAACTCCGATCCAGCCGAGCTTTGAGGGAGAGTTCCGTCAGCACGACGGCGTGGTGACGATGATGATGTTCTACCGACGCAGGGCTTCGCCTAAGC